ATATAGAAAAACTCCCTATCAGGTACTATGCTTATTACCTGGGTGATAAAATAATCTGCACACCAACCTCCCCTGACACACAGTTTACCTTGTAACAAACCTGTACATGCCTGTAATCCCAACACTTTGAGAGGCTAAGGCAGGCCAATCACTTGTGATCAGGAGTTTGAGACCAGCCTGGCCAACATGGTGAAACCCCATTTCTACTAAAAATCCTATATATAGTATAGGCATGGTGGTGCACGCCTATGATCCCCGCTAGTCGGGAGGCTGAGGCATGAGAATTGCTTGAACCCAGGAGGCAGCAGAGGTTACAGTGAGCTGAGATCACGCCACTGCACACCAGCCTGGGTGACAGAGAGAGACTCCATCTCAAAAAAAAAAAAAGAAAAAACAAAACAAACAAACAAAAACTCGTGTTCACTCCTCTCAAATGTCATCTCTCACAATGTTCCTTCTCTTACTGAGGAACCATCATCCATATCTGTGCAAGCCAGGAGACCAGGAGTCATCCTTAATCCTTCCTTTTCCCTTATCAATCAGTCTCCACCTTCTGAGCACGTTTTACCTGTAACTTTCAAATTTGCCCACTCCTCTGTCTCTAGTACTTGGCTACTTGTGTCTACTCTCTCTACTACTCTATCTACTCTCTGTCTCTACCCCAGCGACCCTATGCCAGGCTGCCACCATTGCATACTACAATTTCTTTATGACTACATTGTCTTCCTGGTTGGTCTTCTCACTTTCATTCCTGTCCTTCTCCAGTAAATTTTTTCTCTCTTCTACCAGAGCAATCAGCAATCTTCCCGCTAAATGCAAATCTGATCACATCACTCTCCAGTCTAACCTTCAGCATCCTGTTCTTAACAAAGCCTCAAGGGTTAGGGCTAGGATTAGGGTTTTCTATTTTTTTTTTTTTTTCTCCAGTATTATTTCACATTGCCTGCTTTCGGTGATTCAGCCCCAGCTGCAGATTACAGCCCCTCCCATATTCTTTCTCCCCGAGAGGCCTCTGTGTAGACTGTTTCCTCTGCCTCTTTTGCTGTCCTCACTTCACTCCTCCTAATCCCTGCTACTTCCTCTCCATCCGATTAACTATACTCTAAGACCTTAGTCACACTGCTCACTTCATTGGAGCAAATTTCCATGATTTTCCTAGACTAGCTCATAGTCTTCTAATATAGCCTTTCATGTCATCCTTCATCTCTCCTTTAGAGAACATATCACTTGTAAATTTTACATTCAGATGTCAATTATTAATTAATGTTGGTCTTCTTATCTATATGGCAAGCATGAGGAAATTGTGTGGTTTTATTCACTATTTTACCTCGTTATGGATTGAATGTTTGTGTCCACCTCCCCACCAAATTCTTGTATTGAAACCCTAACCACCCGTCTGACTGTGCTTTAGTCTTCTCAAGCTACCATAACAAAATACAGGCTGAGTATCCCTTATCCAACATGCTTGAGACCAGAAGTGTTTTTGATTTTTATTTTATTTTTAATTTTGGAATATTTGCATTTTACATACCAGTGGACATCCCTAATCCAAAATCCAAAATATTCCCTTGGAGAGGATATGGGGAAGGCGGGGATGGTTAATGGGTTAAAAAAATAGTTAGAAAAAATGAATAAGGCCTATCTGATAGCACAACAGAGTGATTATAGTCAATAATAACTCCATTGTGTATTTTAGATAACTTGAAGAGTATAATTGGTTTGTTTGTAATTCAAATAATAAATACTTGAAGGGATGGATACCCTATTCTCCATGCTGTGCTTATTTCACCCTGCATGCCAGTATCAAAATGTCTCTTTTACTCCATAAACATATACACCTTCTATGTACCCACAAAAACTAAAAAGAAAAATTTTTTAATGCTTCTAAAATCATTTCCTTGGAGCAGGGTGTCCAATCCTTTGGTTTCCCCGAACCACATTCAAAGAAGAATGGGCCACACATAAAATACACTAACATTAATAATAGCTGATGAACTAAAAACCAAAAATCAAAAACAAATGAACAAAAAACAAAAAATTCAAATCTCCTAATGTTTTATGGAAGTTTATGAATTTGCGTTAGGGCTGCATTCAAAGCTGCTCTGGGCTGCATGTGACCCCTGGGCTGCGGGTTGGACAAGTTTGCCTCAGAGAATGACATTAAAGCATCATGTCCATGCTCAAAAGGTTTCAGATTTTGGAGCATTTCAGATTTCAGATTTTTGGATTAGGGATACTTAACCTGTAGACTGGGTGCCTTAAACAAGAGAAATTTATTTTCTCATACTTCTGGAGGCTGAAAAGTCAAGATCAAGGTGCCATCATGTTTGAGTTCTGGCGAGGGTCCTCTTCCTGGCCTGCAGATGCCACCCCTTACTGTGTCCTCTCACAGCCTTCCCTCAGTGTGTGGCCATAGGAAGAGAGTGGGGTCTTTCTTTCTTACCCTTTTTATAAGGTCACCTATCCTATCAGATTGGGATCCCATTCTTATGACCTCATCTAACCTTAATTACCTACTAAAACCCTCGCTTCCAAATACAGTCACACTGGGAGTTAGAGCTCCAGCATGTAAATTGGGGAAGGAGGGAACACAATTTGATCTGTGGCTGTGTCTGGAGATAGAATCTTTGGGAGGTAATTAAGATTAAATGAGGTCAAAAGAAGGGGTCCTGATCTGATTGAACTTTGGCCTTATCAAAAGAGGAAGGGAGAGTTTATTCTCTCTCCTCTCTCTCCTTCCCTGCTCCCCCACAGAGTGAGGACACAGGGAGGAGAAGGTGGCCATCTGTAAGCCAGGAATAGAAATCTCACCAAAACCACCCTGATGTTGAACTTTTAGCCTTCAGAACTGTGAAAAAAATAAATGTCTGTTGTTTAAGACAATCAAGCTATGATATTTTTGTTATGGCAGCCCAAACTAAGCTATGTCTTTGGTTCGCAGCATTGGTATGTAAAGTTTTTTTCTGTAAATTCTGTTGACTGAATGAATCAATGAATCAATGCAGAAATGAATGAATGAATATTGACAGACCCTATGTGGGTCATTCCCTTTGAGGATTCCAAACTGTGGCTTATTCTGGACTTTTGACCAAAGTGTAGCCCACCTGTTACAATTTTGGGCAAAGCACTTTTCTCTCTGGGTTTAAGGAATCAAAACTGGGCATGTCATTGATTCTCGGAATTGTACTGTAGGCTATAGCTGGAGGATTCTTCATCCCAAGCTTGGAGAAGGGAACCCATGTCTGGAATCTTCTTGGTTCATCTTCAAGTACACCTAATTGAGATATCTGTGGAGAGAGAGAGCAAAGGAGGCAGATGAGGAAACTGTAATGCTACCACATGATTCATTTTTACTGTCAATTGTCTTTCTTCCTTAGTAATCATACCTTTTCCCTGTCACCCTCAAGATGGGACTTCTCACAAAGCCCAATACCAGAGCAAGCCCCCTAGGTCTGACTTACTCTGCAGACACATCTGTCTAAGCTGATAAGCTTCCCTGAGAAAACAGGAGCTCCTTAGAAATGAATACTGGGATGTTCAGGAGCCTTCTTTGTCTAGTCTGATGAAGCCCCTTCAAAGAAACAGAAATCGTTGGCACATCCCATCTCTTGGCATCAGACAGCAGGTAGCTCAAACTGAAGAAGAAATTTCTGAACCTCTGGAGACGTAGATGGAGGGAGGGCTAAGTTTGAAGATTTCAAAGTCAGGGCTGTCTTTGGGAATTTCTCAGAACAAAGGCACTGAGGCTATTCAGCAGATTTTCTTTTCTTCTTTTTGGTTTTCTCTCCTTGCTTTTTATGTTGCCTCTTTCCTTCCTTCTCAAGCTTTTCTGTTATTTTTTTCCTTTTATCTTCCAACTTTTTCTCTCTGCCCTTCTGACCTTACTTTCTCCATGTACTGAACTTTCTACCAGTTTCAATTTTGAAACTTTTTTGGAAATGTGGCTACTAACAGTTCATTGGAAGGTATTGGTGCAAATGGAATATTGGACAAGGGGTTAGAAGGCTTGACTCTGCTACTTCCTATCTTGGAGCAAGTCATATATTGTGTTTTGGGGCTTCAACGTCCCCTCAATAAAATGGGTTTATGTTGCTAAGTGATCGACATATCCACAGTGCTGTTGTTGTGTCTCCTAAGATACTGTGTAACCTTCGCTGCCACTGCCCTGGTTCAGGCCACCATTGCCTTTGGCTGGCTACTTCCAAAGCATCAGTCCAGGCCTCCTTTCCTCCCTCAATTTGGATTCTCCATACTTTAGTTAGTGATTGTTTTCAAAGTGACTTAACTTGAACACATCAATTTCCTGTTTAAAACCTTTTGGTGATTACCTTTTGCCATTAGGATACAATTTATACTCCTAAGTGTGGCCTACCAGATGTCCTTTTCACTCCAACCTCATCTCTTTGCAAGCTCCCTTGCAACTACCATAAATTACTTTCCATGGCTCAAGCACCATGCTTCTTCTGGCTTCAGATCATCATACATACTTTTCCTTCCATCCAGGATGCTGTCTTCTCTGGTCTATCCAACATCACCCTGATCCTGCTTTTTTTACTAATTCCTACTCATCCTTAAGGTCTCATCCTAAATATTGCCTCCTTCTGGAAGCCTACCTTGATTCTCAGATGGGTTAGTTGACCCTTTTCAGTGATCCTCTGGAATTTTGTACTCTTCTATTGCAAAACTATTGTACAATGTTAGAATTGTCTAGATATGTCTCCTATTGAAATAAGAATTACTTGAATAATGAATTGTGTCTCACATTTCACTACCAAGCCCTCTAGTCTCAAGGGCCTAGAGCAGTATCTGGAACATAGTAAATGTTGAATACATAAGTATGTAATCCAACAGATACGTCTGTGGTTAGACTGATAGGTTGTGATTCTATATCTTCAATGGGTCAGGGAGGGAGTTTCAAGGAATTAGGGTGGCCAGGCGTAGTGCTCTAGGGGCTGAGGGTGGGCTCAAGCCCTAACCTCAGCTCCATTGCTACCTTATAGCAGCAGCTGAGGTGACTCAGGAGACAGTGGAGTCCCTGATGCAGAAGTTCAAGGAGAGTTTCCGCGCTAACACGCCCATCGAGATCGGTCAGCTGCAACCAGCCCTGCGCAGCACGTCGGCAGGAAAGAGGAAGCGGAGGAGCAAGTCTCGAGGTAGGCCCTCCTGGCACATCTGGCCAGGAAGTCAGAAGGCTGTTCCCTGATTCCAAAGATGCTAGGAAGATCTGTGCCTTCTTCCCTTGCTTCCCTGTGCTTATAGAACGTGTGCCACTCTCTCCCTGATAAATCCCCTTGGAGGCTGAAGACCTATGCTCCCTACACCCAGAGCTAACCTCTTTGAGCCCCAAGTGCCTCAGCTGAGAATGAGAATGGATCGTATAAATTTTACAGTGACTGAGATGAGCAACTATATATGGAAAGTGTGTAACACCAGGACCTCTGCAGAGTAGATGTTCTTTACGTTGTCGCTGGTCAGAGAGTACAAAGTGGCAGAGCATTCTAGTAGGAGACATCCTTAGACTGGGAGCCAGAAACAGGGATCTGAGCCTACTTTTTAGTAGGCTGAATAACATAATGATCAAGAGTGGTATTGTAAATTAGATAGAATTAATTCAACTTTTGTTTCTGCTGCTACCTAGCTATCTCACTCAGGGCAAATCCCTCTACTTCTCCAAGCCACTCTTGTCTCACAGGGTTGTAAGAATATCTCAGCACAGTTCCTAACCCAGCAGTTGTTAAAAAGCAGATATTTTCTTCCTGCTCCTTTTCCTCGCGGATGCTGCTGCTGCTGCTGCTGCTTCTCCTTCTCTTCTCCTCCTTCTCCTCCTTCTCCTCCTCCTCCTCCTCCTCCTCCTCCTCCTCCTCCTTATCCTCTTCTTCCTCCTCCTTCTCCTTCTACATCTCCTCCTCCTTCATTTTTATCTCCTCCTACTTCTCTTCCTCCTTCTCCTTCTCCTCCTCATTCCTTCTTTCTTCTTCTACTATCTATGTGACTTTGTATATGAAGGAAACCAACTTGTCCCTGCTTAATTTCCAAACCATTTTTTTCTATCTACTCAGTAGTCTCCAGCTGAGTAGACAGAAAAGGTAGTAGTCTCCTCTTCTTGCATCTCACTTCTCCATTTCCTGTAACTTGGCTCTGATCAGGTCATCCCCCTTTTCCCACAGCTTCAGTGGTTATCTAGCACCTTCAGACATGTTCCGGTTATGAAGATGACACTCAAAGCCACACAGGGCTCTGGTCTCCACTGTCTTTCCTAGATTGATGTGCTCTGTCCTCAGTGCTCTTTCCCATGCCATGCTCTCTGCATGAAACCACCTCTCTGGCCCCTAAGGGTAATTGTTGGCACTTATTGACACTTAACTTATTCCAAGAAGCAGGTTAAATGATGTACACATCTTATCTCATTTGATTCTCACAGCAACCCTATGAAGCAGATACAGTGGTAATTCCCATTTTACAGATAATTTCACTAAGGTACAAACAACTATTGTAATCTGTCCAAGGGGACATTCTAGTAAGTTGTGGGGCCAGGGAGAACCCAGCAGTCTGATTCTCAAACCTTTTAACTTAACCACTATGTACTGTTATGTTGGTGCTATTACTTTTGCACCAACCTAATACACTAATGAAATTCTACCTGTCTTTTCGAGCTTAACATGCATGGCACATTTCTATGAAGACATTGTTGATTCGCAGTCACAATTCACTCTGAATCCTCCCAGCTTTCCTTTATACATGTATTAAGCACTAGATTCATTTTTGTGTGATATAATTTTCTTTTGTCTGGCTCTTTCCTTAGCTAGACAGAGAGTTCTTTGAAGGTAGAGATTGTCTTAATATTTTACATTCCTGGCCTAAATCAGTGTCTGACACATAATAGATGTTTGCTGTCTGTTGAGAGGATGTCTAATTCTTAATCTTGTAAAATCTTGAATCCTGTAAAAAAACGAAGCTCTACATGTTAAGCTGTGAGGTCATAAATTGAGGCAGAAGAAAATGATGGAATTCATTTTGGGAACTCCCATGGCAAAACCCAGGTTTAAACCATTTTGTAGTGATGCAGAGTAGTCACCTTAAAGTCAGAGAGGTCTGTGTGCTAGTCCCTGCCCAAGTTAGTTTTAACTTGCATGACTTTGGAAGTGTCATTGGTTCTCCCTGAACCTCAGTTTCTTCTTCTATAAAATGAAGATACCAAGCCCTACATCAGAAGATTGTTGTGAAGACCTGATAAAAGGCTGAATGTAGACCACCTTGGAAAGTTCAGATGGCATGCATCAGGAAATGAATACATGCAATCTTATGTTTGTTCTGGGTGAGGCATTTAGGGTTACTTGAAATTTCATATAGCTTTACCTATTCATCTTTACCTCTTTATCATTCACCAGAAATTGCCCTCCTAAGTCCTCTCTGCACATACATACTCCATAAACACTCTTGACTCCAAGTCTGTAGCTTTTTCCCCTTCATTACCAACCTGAATTCATTTTTTAACATTATATTCTAAACATTTTTATGTCAATGAATTTTTCAAAAATATTATTTTTATGCACCATAATTTTCTTCACTAAGCCCCTACTATTAGGCATTTGGGCTGCTCCTAGTATTTCATCATGATAAACAGTGTCACATAGAAAGTATTTTTGCATAAAAGTTGGCACTTACTTTAACATGTTTCCCCTCTTAGAGAAGAATTTCATAGTCAGACTATTAATAAAAATATGTTTTAAGATATTTTAATTTACAAGTTAGATGGGGTCTCAGATAACTATGCATGAAGTAATTTATTTGTATCTCTTCCATATCTGTCCTTACTCTTTGTCACCATCATGACCACTGTCATTTATTAACTGCTCCTTACAACTCTACCCTCCTTGCATTCAGTCTCCTCAAAACTACCAAAGCAATCTTTTAGAAAGACAAACCAGAGAAAGCCCCTCCCCTGCTTAAAATCCTTTGACAGTTTTCTGTTATTCTTAGAATATGATCCAAACTCTGCACCTTGGCTTGCGGATCTGGCTCTGGCTCCTGCCCTCTTTTCGAACATCATTTGCTCTGCACTTCCTTGTGCTCCAGCCAAACTGGCTTCCTTCATGTTTCACGAGCACAGCAAACGGTTCCTTCTTTAGCATCTGAGAACTTGTTCTTCCTTCTCCTTGCCATGCCTCTTTCTTTCCCCCAGCTGCTCTCCTAGCCAGCCCCTTCACGCCTTTAAAATGTCAGCTCCTAAAAACCAACTTCCATGACTACCCAATCTACACTTTTGCTCCTTTCAGTCCCCAACCTGCTACTATCTCTTACGTCATCCTTTTTTTTAACTTCTTTCACAGTAGTAGTTCAGACTAAAATTTTTAAATTTTTGCTTGTCTTCTGTCCTCTTCTCTAAAATATAAGCTTCATATTTATAAATCTAACGCATAGAAATGGCTTAATAAATTTTTTTGAGTAAATGCGTGTATTAACATCAAAGATCACTGGAAAATGGCTCAGCTTTATAACTTTCATATTGATGGTGCAAGAGGAATCTGTGATAAACCAAAGCCTCCTGGTACCGATGCCCAAAGAATTCTATTCCCCTCTTAGACAGACTCACTGACAAGTAGCACAGTAAATGTGCTCAAGTGGATGTTATTAAAGCAATTTCCAAAACAACTTAATCACAATGTGCTTGTGATTTTGCTGCTACCATGGGATACAATTTCTGCAGGGGAAGAGTAAGGACAGTATATGTCACCCCTATACTTCCAAACTTACCTAAGACAGCCCATCAAGAGTTTCTTCGACAAAAGAATTTCATGATTTAAAAAAAAAAAAAAAGTTGGAAATTCTCCACCCTCCTCTTTTTCTTGAAGATTCTTGAATGAATCTTAGTCTATTAAAAACTCTGAGAAGTCCTGCAGTACAGAAAGCTGGGCTGCTTTGTTTAACTCGATGTCATGATACTATATTGACTGCAAAATCTTATTACTCCCGCTGGAACATTTATTAATGACTTGTGGAACAGAAACATCTATAGGAACACAATTTTGGAAATGTTCCATTAGCCTCCAAAATCCCAAATAGGTTGGTCTGCATCCTCTGTCTTTCACTGTTTCTGCCCTCCCCTGCCGTTGAGGTTGCCATGGGCTGCCTGGTCCAGATTGGGAGCACCTGCCCTCTTTCTGCTTCCTTAGGCCTCACGCCTGGGCCATGGTGCCCACTAGTTCCCAACAGATGGAGTAGGTAGCCAAGAACCAGTGCCATGGAATTGAGCACGTGGTTAAAAGCAGCTCCAAGGTATTTGTGTAGCTATGGCTTCTTCCTGAGATGCCTGGTGAAGGCTGAAGTGCATCATTCTTAGTCAGACAGAGGAAGGCTAGTGGAGATTTGAACTGCTGACTTCATGTTAGTGATGGGGTTTTATGAGGCCGCTGTTAAGGAACCACTCCCCAGCCTCTCATGTGCAATATAAAGGGGAGTGGTATTAACATAAAGCAGAGGAGAATTTCTTCTCATGTGCAGAAGAAATTCCATGGGTTCATTTAGTTTAGGTAGTGGTTTTTGAAAGCGGGACTTCGTATTTGAAATTTAATTCCACCATTGACTAACTAAATGCTCTTAAGCAAATGAAAAAGAGCTCTGTTTTCCCTTCTGGAAATAGTGCTAATAATACCAACATCACATGTGGGTTGTGAATTAATACCCAAGAGATGCTTAACCCAGTGCCTGTCCCATGTTCCACCCTCAGTAAGGACTAGCTAGTACAATCACTGTCATCCAAGGCCTGCCCATTGGCCTACAGAGTCTCATAAATCCATCTTCGCCTTCCTGAGCCATTGCCTCTAGCTTGGTTGAGGCCTCCTTGTCCCTCATCCAGATTCCTGCAGCAGCCTTGTCACAGATGAATGTATGCTCCACCCTAGCATCTGGGTGATCATTTGAAAACACACTAAATTTGGCCATGTTCCTCCCCCACCTAGAACATTGTCCTGATTTTCTGTCACTTGCACTGGCGGCTTCTTGAGCTTCTTGAAGTCTTCTTAAAGGCAGATGAAAATGAACTTAACCCCAAAGGGTCTGCAGCTATGCTCAAAGGAATCTGTCCACATTTCAGGTTCATCTTTTAAAAGATCATGCCATTTTATTTCATAGTATATGCATGTTTATTTTAGTT